AGTATATATATTTTAGTAGGTATATATTTTTTATGATAATCTTAAACACTTGAAACTATTATTATATATCTTTCTAAAAAATCTTTTAAAAAATTATTTTTTTAAGTTACTTAAAATTATAAATAAGTTAAACTAAATCTGCCAATGATTTAACAGCTTTTTTTTTTTTTTTTTTTTTTTTTTTTTTTTTTTTTTTTTTTTTTTACAAAAAATATACAGCCTAAAAATATTATATTTTTTTCTTTTCAATGATTTAATTTTACTTTTCAATAATTTAAATAAAATTTGTTCATTTATTAAACAATCTATAGAAGTAATTTGTAAAAGCGTTTTAATAAAACGTTTCTAAAGATAAGTTTTTAAGTAATTTTTCTAAAATGCAGTTAACAAAAAGTAATTTTCAATTAGAGTTAATTGAGTTTTATTTTAAAGCTAATTTATTTTCTTTTTCATAAGGAATCTTTTGTTCATTCTTTAGTTATTTCAATAATAAAGTATTTATTTTATAGAACTTAATTCCCATCTGTCAAAATTTCTGATTACTTTTTAAATTAATTGGGTAATCTGAGGTTTTAGCCAGACAATGGCCGACAGTTAAATTGAGCCCTGTATATATGTATATATATATATATATATATATATATATATATATATATATATATATATATATATATATATATATATATATATTATATATATATATATATATATATATATATTATATATATATATATATATATAATAATATATATATATATATATATATATATATATATATATATTATATATATATATATATATATAATATATATATATATATATATATATATATATATATATATATAATATATATATGTGTGTGTGTGTGTGTATATATATATACATATATACACACACAGATATATATATATATATATATATATATATATATATATATCTGTGTGTATATATGTATTTATATACACATATATATATATATATATATATATATATATATATATATAAATATACATATATTTATATATTTTTTTAATTATAAATTAACTAATAATTTAGAGAAGTGGTGCATATTTATGTAAAAGTGATACTTTTGAATAAGTGATGCATATATTTAGGAAGATGGTTTTTACTTGTTCTCTGTGAAATTTGAGATAGATAACAGGAGCACATCTTTTTTTTTTTTAAAAAAAAGATGTCTGCTGCTAAAAACATAATTAAAGCACAGTACTATCAGCAAAATGGAAGGTTTTAACTTATTATCTTATGGAAGGTTTTAACTATTTATCTTATATAGCTTATGGTGAGCTTATTTAACAGCATTATTACTTTTAACAAAACAATTGCTAGGCTTAAAGTGTTTAACTAAGATTTTTTTTTATTTCTTATTGTTAGAATAAATATTTTTAACATTTATGCGAATTTAGTTATTTCAATAAAAATGTTTCGTTTTTTCAATTAGGAAAGCCCATGGGCAATTGCAGGTTTTTAATTTTCCCATAAAAAAAAACCTCTTTATGCCATGTAGCAAGTGATGCAACTATGTCCACAAATAAGAAAAATAAGGAGGGGCTGGAGCTAGGGCAGATTCAGACCATGTAGTAAAGGAGGAAGGAGGTAATTTTTCCAGACCATCTATTAAGGTGAGGCGATTTACAAGTTTAATGGTTTTTTTAAGCAGTCCAGCTCAAAAAATAGAATTTGCAATACATAATTTTATCAGAATTTCGTCCCACTTTGAAATAGCCTCCCAAATTTACTTATGTTTTTTAAACAATGTGCTCAATCTTTCTTTTTTTAACAAAAAGTGTTTCTTATTAAAAGAGTATAGAGCTGTAGATTCTTTACCATTTTGACTTAACACATTACAAAAATTAATATATAAAACAACAAATGATTGTTTCGCCCAATATCGGGGCTCATCAGCATGTCTAGGAATATATTTTATTCCAGACATGGACAATCAGAAAAAGAAAAATAAGAACAGAAGACAGAAAGATACAAATACAAATAGATTTATATATATAGTCAAATAAAAGGTTAAACTTATTTTTATATTACAAGATTTTCAAAAAAAGTTAAACCTTAACAACAAGAAAGAAAATAATTTTTGATCAAATGAAAAGAAAGGTAACAATTTTTGAAAACAATTACAAATAAAAACTGGTTTAAATGGCACAAAGACTTAAGAATATTATTAGGTTAATTGAGAAAATTTATTTGAAATTATTTTTATTGTTTTGTTTTTATTTTGTCACTAAATTAGAAAATGATAGAAAGAGATTGTCAGTATTTTCCTGAACTATGACCACTAATCATATAGCTAATCCCAAACAAAAGTATGGGGTTACATATAACCTGTCCTGTTAAGGACACTATTTATGTCCTGGCTATTCCAGGGGTTTCCACGCCTATTTGTTAGCTGTTATATGAAGAGCATTGATAATGAACAAGAATTTCTTAATTTAGTAGTTGGTGTGTGTTAATAAGCAGCATAAACACAAACAAATGAAATTAAGTTGTTGATTTTTTTCAGAAAATCTGTTAATAACATTATCAATACAAGGAACAATTCCTTGATGGATATACATTAATGCGGAACCGTTAAGTCAATCTTCTGATAAGGGTCACTTCCTGTTACACACTGACATGAAGTAACAGGAAGTGACCCTTAAAGCTATCTTAATATTTTCAAATGATATTGATTTAAGAGTTAAGAATATATTGTCAGGAATTTTATTATTATATATATAGGATTCCCAGAGAATCTTTCCCAATACTTTTCCCAAAAAACTAGAGAAATTGAAAAGTACTATGGGAATTTCAGGGTTTGACTCTCAGAAAAAGCTATGATACATAAAGCATGGAAAATAAATAAATAATGTTTAAGAAAAGTTTTGAAATCATCTGTACGCTCAACCCATCTAGTTTTACAAACATCCATTAATTTTTTTTTATGCGTTTGAGGTTCAAGCTCTAAAATCTTTGAACCTCAAGCATTTTAGAGCTTGAGGTTCTCTCAACTTCTCTAAAAACCTTTGTTTATATTTTAAATAAAAAAAATAAGAAAGTTCACGAACTTCATCAAAAACCTCTGAGAATAATTGGACATTAAACGATTCACAAACAGGTGAGCTCAGTTGATGGCTATGAAAATGTGTATAAAGAACCTTTGAGTTTATAATAAGAACCTGAACAGAAAGACCATTTATATAACAAGAGACAGAACTGGCTCCATCATATTGCTTACACAATCAACGCAGATTAACTTATCGTATTAAATTATAATAAAATAATTATTATTGAAAAAAAAGTAAAATTGACTTACCTCAGAGCAATAATTTCTTATTAATGTTCTTTTAAGTAAGACAGGATACAAACTTGTGCACATATTTAAAATATATAAATATATGATATATTTTTTCTTATTGTCACAATAAGAAGTAATAGTGGCACAATAATTGTGCCTTCAACAAATTGTCTTAAAAGATCTTCATTTTGTTATTTTTAATAAATTTATCCAATAAAGTTTCATAAAACATGTTTAAATTGACAAGATTGTTAGTAAACCTCTAACGGGAATCAGCGGAAATACTTTGTTGGTAGAACAGAGTATATTTACAACCAATCAAATAACTACTGCAAATGCTGTAACGTATAGTTTACATTACGATTTTTTTAAAAATTTTAATTTTTAAACGAATCAGATTGCTACTTTAAATAGCATAAACCGATTACCTTATCCAATTTTCTCATACACTGCAAAGTATAGTTTACATTAGTCACTTTTATAAAACATTTCTTGCAACCTCTGCAAAGCATAGTTTTTTACTGTAAAAATTTTTCCTAATGGTATTTTCTAACAAAATATATCAAAAATATAAAGATAGGTAATTACTATTAAGCGGGTGTTAGACGTCATAATACCATAATTTATATTTGTTTTTTCACCCTGTCACTTGCAGTACTTGACGGGGTTTAAATCCGCCTCTGAAGCCTAATGCTTGTTACATTTTGCAATAATTTATTTTAAATATAATAAATTTTTTAAGTTAACTGAATAACTCTTTAAAAAATTTAGTGAAATATTTAGTTATAATATTTTATTTATTTAAAAAGTTATTTTGTGGTTATTCCTGATGACTCTAACTGAAAAAAATGTTTTTAATACTGAAAATTATTATTTCAATTATCTACTTCATCAACTTATAGACTTACCAAAACAACATAAAATTTAATAATAAATATACAAATATCTCTTTAAGTGCACTGTTTTCATTTCTTAATATAAATTTTTATGTAAATATAAGCTTTTTCAAGCTGTAATTAGCTTTTTCCATTTACCTTAAACGGAAAATTAATTCACAAGCCATTAACATTAAAAATTCTTCCTCAAAAAGAAAGACAGAAAATTAAAACTAATTCTAAAAACTCTACATTCAAAAAAAAAGATGTATTTCAGAATTTTTTTGTTTAGCTTTGATTAAATCTATTTACATTTAGGTTAAATGCATTGCATATAACCCAAAAGTATGCATTTGTATTTTGAAAAAGCATTAGTGTATATGCATTTTCAAATTCTGATTAAATCTCTTTTTCATTTATGTACATGTGACTACCAAACCAATTTTTTTTTTTTTTTGTTAAATCTAATTAATTAGTTTAAAAACTAGTTACCTTGGTTACCTTAAGTTGTCTAATAGAAAATATATTTTTAAAACTGATGCCAAAGGTATTTGTTAGTGAAAAGTTTTAAATACTGGGGTTACTTTTTAATCTGTTAATGTTTATTAAATATTTTTATTATTATAGTATTAAATTTATTATTATATTATTAAAAGGTTATTATATTATAGTATTATAGAAAGTTACTTGAACAGTTTTTTCTTGCGTTATTTTTCTGAGGTTTTTTTGTTTTTGTTTTTTCAATATAATTCTTTAATATAGTTGCCTTATGTTATTTTTTTGTTAATATAATATTTTTATAATTTTGAAATTAAAAGGATGTGGTGTGATGTCACAAAATGTTTAAAAATCAATGACATTGACAATGCAACAAACAATAAACTAAAGGTAAACTAATCTTTTTTTTTTTTTTTTTTTTTTGTTGTTGTTGTTGTTGGACTTAATATTATATTTTATATTTATATTGCATTTTTAATTGCTTTTTAGCTTGAAGAAAAACAGAGAATGGATGCTCGTGTTCGAAAAGAGACAGATTCTAAATGGATCACAAGGGTAAGCAGTTATGCTTTTTAAAAAGTAAATGGATCACAAGGGTAAGCAGTTATGCTTTTTAAAAATGGATGACAAAGGTAAGCAGTTTTTTAAAAAGTAATATGTAATCATTAGAGTTTATTGCATTAGAATTTTTTTTATTAGAATCTTTTTAATGTAGAATTAATTTTCTTAATTACTTTGTTTTATGGTGGGGGCTAGTGCCGTGGCTAGTGGTCACCATAGGACAAAGAGGCCTATCCACACGGATATTACTAATCTGCAGAAAGTATTGTTGTTTTTTTGTTGTTCAATTTAATGTATACCTACAGCAGGGGCTATTCTAGACTGTTTTCAACCTTTTTTTCTGCTAAAGTTTGCCGGAACAAGGGGGTGCCGCTTCCCAAATTTCATAAGAATTCTACTATAGATAGATTAGGTGTAAATGGAATAAAGTTTATGTTGTATTTGAATGTACTTTTGATATTTTGGCTTCTTTTGCTGCTATTAAATCATCTTCTATTTTTAATTACATATTTTTTTGATGCAGCTGATAAATATTTTACAACGTCGCCTTAAACTAGACGTCATCATCCTTATTATTAAAGTATTAAAAGCTACACACACACACACAAATGATTATTTGTTTTTTTGTTTTTTAATGCAGCTCAATCTCTCAATCCATAACCATTCCTTCTGAGATTTTAGCAGAGACTTTGATAGATAAAACCAGGAAGGCTTTTAAAGGAGCTTCCGTCTAATAATATTTTCTAGAAAAAATGATACAGCTAAATGTTATAACTTTATAACTTTTTGATTACTCTATTCAAAAGAAACCTTAAATTAAAACTAATAATAGCTATTGCTACAACAACTTTCTTGTACATGTAATTAACGTCAGAACAATAATATTGAATCAAATACTTTATGTGCTAGTACTATATTCTTTAAAAGATTTTATCTTATAAAAGAAAGGATGATTGTTTGGTTTTCAATCTTTTTTTAGTTACTATTATGTGTATACTGATTTTCTAACCACCAAAACACCACATCAAAAAATCTGGATAAAAGACATCCAGATCTTTTATCCAGACCTTTAATCCAGATGTCTATTCTTTTATCCAAATCTTTTATTCAGATTTGTATCTGGATAAACAATCTGGATAAAAGAATAGACACCTGGATTAAAGGTCTGGATATAAGCAAATTTAAGTTATTAGAATTCTTTAAGGTTTCTTAAGAAAGAGCATAATTTAAAGATTTATATTCTATCAAATAAAGATTCTTATATTATATCAAAGAGGAAAAAATCAATGTAATAATTTTTTCGTTTAACATATAGGCTACAACAACAAATTTTCATAGAATGTGTTGTTACTGAAAAGTATTAAAAGTCGTAATTTTAATTCATTCTGACAAAAACTAATTAAAAAGCAAAATATTTGCATATTATCTTTGCATGATTCTAACCATATAAACATAACAACCTCAATGACGTAAGAGATTACTTAAAAGGAAACTTTATTTAAAAATAACATGAATTATAATCAAGTTTAATATGCTGTTTGAAGCCATTGAAATTAATGAAAAAATCATGATTTTAAATTTTTTAAAAGTTGTTTTCCTTTCAGACAATTTTGCGCTATTTAAAACTAGATTATAGATTGTTTATCATAGATGTAAGAGTAGTTTACAGCTATAATTTTTCTGTCAAGATATAATATGCCCCGCGCCATATGTCTCATTTCATCATTAAAAATATATATTGCCTTTAAAGTTTAAATAAAAATGAATATACCTATGGATAAAAAAAATGCAAGAAATTGTGCAACATTAATAAATAAGAAATGCACAATTGAATGCATAAAATAATCTGTTTTGAAAACCAAGCAATGCAAATATAACAAGTAAAAAAGTACGCTGCCGCCGTAATCATGCCTAAAGCAACTTCTTATCAAAGAGTTGCAGTTTACAAATTCCGCTCTCAACACGTCTGCGTTTAAGGTGAGAGTAGACATCGAAGATCTCACTAATTAAATACCTTCTTATTTTTAGGAGGTGCTCATAATAAGAACTTTCATAAAATCAAAATAAAAGAGTTATATACATTAAAATAAGTACAGTATTTACTGTTATACAGCTAAACATAGCTTTCTGCAATTTTAAACTGCTTTTTGGAAACATCTTATTTTAACCTAAATTTATTAATTCTGCTGGCTGTTAAATATTACCGACTTTAATTACCGACTACGCAATCAAAACGCCAACTGCAACCGCGACGTCTGAGCACAAAATACTGGTAATGCGCATGTGTTAGGTCAGGGTAAATCCCTACTCGCGTTTAGCTGTACATGAAAAATAAAATTTTTGAAAACGTTAAATAGTTTTGAAAACGAAAACTTTTTCACAAAAATTGAGTTTTTTTTTTTTGTGTGGTTAATTTCATGTTATATCGGCTAACTGTTTTTATTTTAATTCTGAATTACTAACTTTATAATATATTTATACGTGATAAATTTAAAAAAAGGCTTGAAAAAGGCGGTATCATATCTTGATATCTGCAGGGGTAAGCGAAACGTTTTAAAAGATACAAGTCTTGAAATAGTGATACCATTGTAACATGTTATTTTCGCGGGAGAATTAAAAATATCGATCAGTTTGTTAATATCTTTTGATAAAAAACGAAATTCAATTTAGGCTAAAATAATATCTTTACATTGTTTATTATCTTATCAGAATGAAAAATAAGTAACTCATTACAAACCTTGGATAACTATTTATTTAAAAATTATTTTAAACTCTGCTTTTTTGTTGTGATACTCAAAAAGGTTTTGTTGTGATACTCAAAAAGGTTTTGTTGTGATACTCAAAAAAAATCATACAGTACTAAACAGAAACTTTTCATTCTGTGACGTTTTCATAGTAATTTTCGTTACGATATTTTACTTAAAACGGCTACGACGACGACATCTTTAAAAGTTATAACTTTTACATTCTTGTTGTAGTTGGTGTTTTGATTTCGTATTATAAGTCGCTATTTTATTGATTACGACGCAAAATCTGCCGTTTGTGCAATTTTTAATGTGTCTTACTAGGTTGCTGCATTTTATTTTGGTTTTAATTGTTAATTAAATTATGTCGGGCTTCGTATACAGTTAAAAAAATGTAGATAAAATAGCTCTCTCGTTTATAATAAGCCGTTTAGGCGATTTATAATAACATGAAAATTGTTAAACTAAAACTAATATTGAGGCCAACATTTTTAATCAAATTTTATTTATAACTTTGATTCTGGGTATACATTAAATTCATCTAGAAAAAAAAACGACAACACTTTTTGTGGATTTATTTAGTAGTGCTTTATTTAGTATCTGTATACTGATTACTGGTCATAAATATAAATTGTATTGTGATCAACATACATTAAACTTTAAAAGCGTGTTGCTTTTTTTCCAGGTATTTGATGAATGGGAAGAAGGAGAAGAGCGAAAATGGTTTTACAAATGGCCTTTATATAAAAGACAAGGTTTACCAAAGCCTGGCTGCACATGATTGTTTCAGATATGGTTAGAAAAACTGTATTGGATTTATTAATCGATTTTACAGCTATAGTTGTCACTTTGAAATATATAGCCTAAATTTAAAAAATTGCATAAAATTTGTAAAACAAATAGTTTTTAATATTGAAATAATTTTGTCATAAAATTATGTAGAATATTGTTATCCGAAGTTAAATCTCAAATTTTTGTAAATTTTACATATGCTATCGAGTTTACAAAAATTTGACAAAAAAAAAACAAACTAATATCTTATAATTTGCTATATATAAATTATTGGATTGTATTGTTAGCAGTTGTAAAGTTAACCAGTCAAGTTTTATATATATCGATTTATTTACAATATGTCTGGTTTTTTATTTTGTTATTTATAAGAAAAGTTTTATAAGAATTTTTTACACTTTTATGAAAACTTGACATTTTATTTTTCATAAAAATTAAATTAGATTTAATTAAAATTCCAAACCATTTTTTTAGGCATTTGTTGCAAAGCAATTTTTGGTTTTTCTTTGTTTATACTTATTGTTTTTTGTTATTATTATTATTATCAATTGGCTTATAAACACCTTTTTAATGGTATAGCATGTTGGCAGCGGGATTGAAACTTACAGAGTTGCCACTCAATCAGATAAGATTAAAAAAGGATCCAAGTATTTTTTTAAACCTTCAAAATCTATTAAATTATGTTTGTAAGTTATGCTTTTTTGTAAGTTATGCTTTTTTGCGGAGAGTAATCTTTTGAATAAGTTTTCATCTTTTTGATGATTGATTTTTCTTTTATATAATTTTTTATTAACATATATAATATATTATTATATAATCAGATATTGTAATACTAAAGCAACGAGTGAAATAATTGTCAGTTCCCCTTAGATAACTTACGTTAAACGTGTTCTTAATAATTTAATTAAATTAACTATTATAAATAATTATATATAATTAAATTTAAATATACTATTTGTTTAAATTAGTATTTTTAGAAAATTAGGGAATAGCAGTGCTCTAGAATAAAAAATATAAAGTAGTAATCCTTCGATGGATTGCATGAATTATTGAGTGGCAATCCTGCATGCAACATATTTTCAAATTTATATTACAAAATCTATTTTATATATTATATAAAATAAATTTTGCGATAATCTATTTATATAATATATAAAATATTATATAATATATAAAAAATTTTAAAGAGTTACTTAATATCGTTATTAAAAATTGCTAAACTTCAAAATATGAAAAGTAACGGTATTAACAATTTTAACGATATATAACGACATTAAAACGCCACTGGAATTGTGATAAAATGTAATGTTATTAAAAAACAACTATTATTTCGAACAATGAAAATAATTTTTGCCACGTAAAAATTTTATTTTTGTTTTAAGTTTGTATATTTATGGTATTTTTATTTTAAAAGAATATATTTGTAAAACAATTCAAGTTATAAATTTTGAAAAAACTTGTATAACGCATACTTAATAAATTTTAATGTTTCTTAATAGTCAAATTGTTTAGATTTGTAGTCAAATCAGTCCTCCTTCATTGTTTTAAAATGAATTTTTTTGCGCTGCAGTTCACAGTGGGTCAGAGGTGCGTAAAACCCCTCAAAACCAACTTCTTTCAACTTGGAGTAGATTTTTTTATATAAATATAATCTTGAGACCACCAGCACTCTAAAACTGATAACGTTTTAAAATGCAAAATAGTTTAATAGAGTCTTTCGAAGTTATTTTTGATAAAAGTTAAGGAAGTAAGCCCAGTATATTAATTTTAGCACGAAAATGGTATTATTTCACCCTTCAAATATTGGTGAAAATGAAAAAATCATATAAAAAGAAGTATGAGGCCAGTGAGACTATTTATAATTTTAACGGTATATATTAGTCCACCGAAATCATATAATAAAATAAAAATATGTATAATTTTTTTTTCCCATTTATTTAGCCGTACAAACATTTACAAGTTCCGTGTTTTATAATATATATAAAAATGACAAAAGCGAGAAGAAGACAGGTTTGCCTTATCACCAAGTCCCTTGTTTTTTCTAGACATTTATATAATTACGTTGTAACTAAAATTAAAAATGAGAGAAAAATGATTCATAGGACATTTGTTTTAACAATTCAAATCTTATTTTTTTAGAAGTGATGGAAAGTGTCCTTTTGGAAATGTTGTGAATTTTTTACCTGCAGGTGATTCTTTCCACGAAGTCAAAACAATTTTTCACTTATTTTTTTGTGGCCTAAAATAGGCAACATCTAGAGGTTGTGTCAAATGCGATGAGTTAGGTGGTAAACAAACATATGCTATGTTATTTTCTTTACACGGTTTTAAAACATTCTGACTGATGTGTGATGACAAATTATTCCCTATTAGAACTTTTTTTTCCGGTCTGTTTTTTCAGTATTGGAAGCAGGTGAGCAGTAAACCACTCCTCAAATTTAACACTATCTAACCATCCATGTTCTGAAAAACCAGGGCCACCTTTGACCACCCCTAAAATGACCAGTTGTATGGTCATGACCATACCAAGTCCAAACTTAAAATGGAGCCCAAAAATGTCTATAAACCCCAATATATATATATATATATATATATATATTATATATATATATATATATATATATATATATATATATATATATATATATATATATAACCATAAATAGTTTTTATTTTTATTTTTAGACGATTCTACCCGACTGTGCAGTGTATCAAAAAATTTTATTAAAATGAAAGTTCAGCTACTCCATTTAAATGTTTCTAAAGTCGCAAAAACAAATGAAAAAAAAAGCAGCGCACATTGCCTCAGAAACATGATGAAGTGGCTGAAACTTCCAATTTTAAAATTTAATTAATTTTTTTAATACATTTTTTCCAGACATATATAAGCAGGCTTGTGGAGCCGAGCCGCAGCCGGAGCCTTGGAGCCGCTGTTTTTTAGTGGAGCAAAGCCGCAAAAAATTGAGCGGTACTCGGCTCTCGTGTTTTTTTTTATGTTTTTATGAATGTATGTTTATTTTTTTTACTGTAGACAAACTTTATTCATTTATTGTTAAACTAATTTGTTAAATGAATTATTTATTGAACTTCTACTTTTTGAAAATTTTTTTTTTTTAACAGTTACGGTTATGCCAAAACTTAAAAAAAATGAATACTTTAACGATTTAGTGCTCAACAAAATACTATCCTTTAATAAAATTTCTTAATATTCTTTATTAAAAAAAAGGAATATATAAATGAAAACATTACAGTAATGCACATATTGCTTTATATTATATTTTTATACTGATACTATGCTGTTAAATATTTAATGTGCGATTTAATGATCAAAGGTTATTGATATCTTTAAAGTTAAACTAAAGCATGCGATCGTTTAATTTGGAACGATAAATTTTGTTTAAAACTTGTCACTAACACATTATTAAATTATTTTTTTTGCTTAGTTACATAAAGTAATTATGGTATTAATTAAAAACATCAACAAACGAATCAAAATGTTTCTCTTAATTAAAATGTCATTGAAACATTTAAAAAACGAAAAAAAAATCTGCACAACTATTTACAAAGTCCTTTTACATCGTTAATTTCAACAAGAGCTCTCTATCTATCAAACAAGCAAAAGGATTTGGGTTAAAGAGTAGCTTTAAGAATAAGAAATATTCGACGATCATTCACGTAAAACCCCGGCTTATCAAACAGAATGCGAGCCAAAGGATGTAAAGTTTCAGAGTTTTTTAAAGATAAAATTTGGCAAGCAATATGCAGCTGCGATTTGAAATCTCGAACTTTTGTCACATCGTCAATTATAAACTTGGTAAAGCATGCAATCGTTATATTAAAAACGATAAAAAATTCAAAAAAAAAAATGAAAAATTGTTTAACTAATGCAAAAAACTACAAAAAATATTTATTTAAATCTAAAGAACTTGAAGATTATAAAAGTGCATTTTACTTTAGTATTTTTATTATTTCAAATAAATAAGCAAACATTTATGCTTATTAATGACATCAACTTTTTAATGGGACGGAATTGTGTGCAAATTGATGGGTTCAAGCTTTTTCGTATGAATTTGATGTTGCTCTTCTTAGAATAATGATAAGAAGCAAGATTAGGTCAGAACCAACAAGGGACATCGTGACTTCAATAAAATTCCAAAAGTAATTTTAAAAAAATAAATATTTTTTGTAGTTTTTTGCATTAGTTAAACTATTTTTCATTTTTTTTGAATTTTTTATCGTTTTTAATTTAACGATTGCATGTTTACATCAAAAAAATACTTGCAAGCTAGACTTTTGAAATTTTATTGAAATCACGATGTCCCTTGTTGATTCTAGCCTTGTCATTATTCTAATCTTTCTTCTTGTCATTATTTTAAGAAGAACGACATCAAATTCATACCAAAAAGCTTGAATCCATCAATTTGCACACAATTCCGTCCCATTGAGAAGTTGATGTCGTTAATAAGCATAAATGTTTGCTTATTTATCTGAAATAATAAAAATATTAAAGAAAAAAGCACTTTTATAATCTTCCAGTTCCTTAGATTAAAATAAATATTTTTTGTAGTTTTTTGCATTAGTTAAACAATTTTACATTTTTTTTTTGAATTTTATATTGTTTTTTTAATTTAACGATTGCATGTTTTACCCAGTGGGCATGGGACAAACAAAAGAGGTTTTTTTAAATATTTTTTCTTTGGAATGTTTTCAACGTCTTTTAAACGTTCTGGACGTCTTTTGAACGTTCAAAATACGCCTTCTTTAGGTCCCGTGTCCACTGGATACCAAGTGGGGACGGGACTTAGTGGATGCATAAGAAAGACGTCTTTTAAACGTTTTTTGAACGTTTGAGATGCCTTTTGAACGTTTTGAACGTCTTTAGGACGTTCAAAAGACTTCTTTTTTAAGTACTGCGCACAGTGAGCCATAAAGACCGTCAAGTTCGAATTCTCACCACATCTAATTTTTTTTTTTTTTAAGTAAATTTAGTTTGTATAAGTGTATTTTAAGTGCAAATAAAATCTGAAGTTGATCAGAAGAGTTTGTAATTTAAGTTTTAAAAAGAGTAAAAAAGACTAAAAATTTAGCTTAAAAAACAAAGTAATCCACCATTTTTGACTTCTTTTTTTTTTAATTATTTTGAGATAAAGATAAAAAAGCGGTAAAAATGGCTGATTTGAAACAATCTGTTTGTGCCAATGATATATTAAGAATAACTAGATGTCTAACTGCCGTAAATCGGTATAAGAAAAAGTGAAGCAAAAATCGGCCATTATGGGGGGCAAAATCTTTGGTAAGCGCAAGAAAGTATCACTCAGAATACGATCACAAAAACACGTA